ATTTTAAAAGCCTTCGTGGTGGCCATGGGTTTGGAACGACAAATGAAAGTGATAATACCATATTAGATTTTTGTTTAGCTTATGATTTTGATTGATTTCTTATTTAAGAAAAGAGATGAAAATCTTATCACTTATAAAAATGGATATAATAAAATGCAGATTGATTATTTTCTTATAAGGAAATTAGATTGTTTAGATTGCAAAGATTATAAAGTTATTCCGAGTGAAAATTTATGTACCCAACATCGATTATTAGTTTTGGACTTTAATATATGGTGCATAAAATAAAAAATAAAGTAAAACGATTTTCCAAGATCAAATGGTGTCATTTAAAAATATTAACAAAAGTATTTTTGAGAGTAAGATTTTAGATCTTAAGATTTTGTATGTGCATGAGGATGCTATTATGTGGGAAAAATGGTTAGTGATATTAAGAATATGATAAAAGATCTGCTTCGAGTTTCGAAGGAAAAAACTCCTAATTATAAAAATAGTTGGTGGTGAAATCCAAATGTGCAAGAAAAGATAAAAAATAAGAAGATTTGTTATAAATATTAGTTTGGATATAAAAATTCTGATAATTGGGAAAGCTATAAAGAGGCTCGTAAGGAATCTAAGAAAGCTATTTGCGATGTAAAGAACTTAGCTTTTAATGATTTATATAATATATTAGATACTATGGAGGGAGAAAGATATATGTATAAGTTAGCTAAACAAAGATATAAGAGTAGTAATGATTTAGTTCAAGTGAAGTGTATTAAGGATGTGATGCAGACATTCAACCGTCAATGTCTATTCGAGGAGGAGCTGAAGATCGACGGTTGTGATCGTCCTACGTTATTTTAAATTTTATTTGTAATTTTTATTTTAATTATTCATTTTTTGTTTTTACCCGTACTTAAGGGTCTAATCTTATGTAAGCCCTAGGGGCATGATCGTCTTATTTTAGTTTTTTTTTTATTTCTGAGGCCAATGTGGAGTTTTAATAAAATTTTGTTATGTACTTTTGTTCTTTGGGAGGACGTTAGTGAGAATCCTTATGGAGGGAATTGTGGTTTCCACCAGCCACAGGATGGGTCTGGGCTCGTGGTTTGAAGTTCCTTGGTGAAGGACATCATAACCCGTCAGTCTTCGGAAGAGTCCAAGGCTCGTGATTCTATCTTTTTTTTCTTTGTTTTGTTTTTCCTTATTTCCTTAAACCGTCACCTCCTCAAACCCTCCACCAAGGCGCGATCCTCTCACCGCATCACCTCCACACTATCAACTTACACCAGCCCCTTTCTTCATCTTCCCTCCCCTTGGCCGAAATCCACCAAGGCTCCACCCACCCGCCGGCCACCTCCTTCCTTAACCTCACTTCCCTCTAAAAATCCCTCTTTCCTTATTTAAGTTGTCATTAATTTGGAAAGATTTTATATTCAAATTAATCTAATTTGAATTTCAAATCTATCATCATTAATTACATTAATTTTGGAAACTTCATTCATTTAATTAATTAATCAATTCTGAAATTGATTGGTTAATTAATCCCTAGCCCAAATATATTGAACCTAGACACCCCTATTCCCCCATCCCTCTTTCTTCCTCCATTCAATTAATTTCCTTCCCCTTATTGCTCCCCAATTAACTCCCATATCTTAATTTTGAATTTTAAATTTTGAAAGGTCTTTATTCCCTTTTCTAATTTAAAATTTTAATTAAAGAATTATTCAATTACCCCATTACCATCTTCCTAATTTAGCCCCATCTTATTTGGAGAGATTTTGTAATTCAAATTCAAATTCAAATGAATTTGAATTTTAAAATATTTCCTAAATGTCCCATACCTATTTTAGGAAATTCCTCTCAATTAGTGCAAATCTGAATTAAATGATTGGGTTTGAATTTAATTTCACCTATTCAATATATGTGTCAACATACATTGAATGTGGACAATTCTCCCTTTCCCCTTTCTCTTTTTTCGGCCCCCATCCCTCCCTTCTTCAATTAATTAAGAAATTTTAAAATTCAAATGACCCCCCTCCATCGTTCTACATCAGGATGAAGATCAAAAAGTATTTTTCTTAGAAGATGATATTCAACAAAGATGGATGAGATATTTTGCTAAACTTTTTAATGAAAAATGTGAAAATGCAATTGACTTTAGTGAATTTAGCACCCTATGTAAAAATAAAGATTTTTATTTTTATCGGCGTATTAGTAAATACGAAGTTA